GCATGACGAGTTCAATTACCTCAGTGTCAATTTACAGGGAGTAAACTTTTAAACACCACAATTGAGAAATTACTATTGTGTGCACCCTAAGCAAATTGAGTTGCTCCTTAGTAAATTACTACAAACTTACAAAGTATCACTGCCAGCAAAAAATAATCAAACGAAAAGTATAAGTAGATGATTAAAGACTGACCCACCTTCTTTGTTAGCAACAATTACGTAGACACCGATTCTAGGCAAACTGTTATAGCTGTATTTTCCCCTATCCTAAATCTCTGACCAAATTTTCAACATTAACTCAGAATGTCAAGTTCCACATGTTTGTGATAGGGAATCAAAATTTCAAGAAATTAGTAACTTTGGAGAAAAAAGGGAAGAATCTTAACAAATCACCAACTTTCCCCACTCTAAGATAAAGTAAGGCCTTATCATCCAATTGCAAATCAACATTGTTCAAGAGAACCTTGTTCAGAATCATTGAGTAGAGGGTGTAATGGCGGAAGTATTTTGATAAATATCACGCAGTACTTTCAAATGATTAGGAGACTTGTTGTGGTTCACATGTAGGAGGATGATTTGAAAGAACCAAAACCTTCTGAAACATTAGGAAACAGAGAGGTTTGTATGAGGATGATGATTTGAAAGATCGAGTAAATTCAGAAACATTAAACGATACGGAGTGTAATTAAGTTGAGGAGGAAACGCAGCAGGGGATGAGGAAGCGATAACTAATTGCAAAGGAATTTACACAAATACCCCAAGAGTTAGGCGGGAAGAGACTTAGTTGGATTAATTCAGTATAGATAGATTACATGCTTGGGTAAAAAGAACAACACAAGTATCACATGAAAAGAAAAATAACACTTACAAACGTCTCTCGCGGAGCAATGTGAAGCAAATCATTAATAATCGCTTCAAATCAACCTTTTCCAATACTAAGATCACAATAATGAGAGAATATAAAATTGCACAATAGCCACAAACATCAATTGCACATAACAAAAATAAGCTTTCTTTTAGTTACAACTGAATGAATAAATTTAAAGAAATATTACTACATATTGAATTCATAATATAAGTTGAGAATATATTTATGGTTTATTAATCGTTGAGAGTCTAAAGTTTGAAACCTCGAAAGAATAAAGATTTTCAAAGAGACAAAAAGTTTAGCCGCCAAGAAGACTCTCGCAACAAGACTGTCAATTTGACGTCCTCTAAAATTGTTATTAGGAACTCAAGTATTGTTTAGTGATTCCTTTGTTTGCAATTGGAATTTGGAAACAATTGAGATGAGATTTGAGAGGCACAGGGTGGACAATAATTATATAAATTTTTATTTTATAATTACAAGGAATAAAAAGTCTTAAAGGCTAAAGAGATGTGAAGAATGGAGATGTTTGTCTTGTATTAATTGAACAACAATTGTGTTGCTTTTAAAAACAACAATCAGTTCTACTTAAAATTAAATGTGTGTGTGTATTAAACTAAGCTTCACTTAAGACTTTTTACTTATGTTTTAAATTTTCAAAACTATCAACACAAATTAAACACTAGATCTAATTAATTGAACTTAAAAATTAAAAATAAAAAATAAAAAGAAATCTACTCACACTATATATAAAGAAAAATTTTGGGCCTATTCCCCAGGACCGCTCCTGCTGATCTTTAGAATATAAAAGATCAATGTCAGTTTTGGTGAACTTGATTTATCCAAACAATAATCTCTCCATATAGAGCGTGGTTTGAAGTAAAATTGGGGTTGCAACTTGCAAAGGGCGAATGATTGCACTTATTTTAATGCACAATACACTTGTCATCAAACGGTGCACTCTAAAAATGGCGATTTTTTTTTACTTAATTACGAATATAACATCACATTTTTATATGAAGTGACTTTTTGATTGAAATCATCCATATACATAAGGTGCGGATCTAGTGGCAAGTCTGTATTCGACTAAAAAGTACATAATAACGACAATGTAAGGGTGAATATTTTATAATAATTATTGTTCCTAGCTAATGTGTTATTAAGAATGTTTTCATTTAGACTTTTGCAATTTAAGATCAGGCCAAATCAGTATTAAATATATCAAATCAGATCCAACAAAGACTATAGTAGATCAAATGTATACACATCTGACCTTCAAAAGACTACCCTAGACATAAACAAACCAAATTAGACCAGGCATAAATAGATAATACCAGATCACTTAAGTTTTCAATCAAGTGAAAATGTCCAATGTGAAATATGCTACTACGTACTACGTATTTTACTCTACATTGACATATATACATATTATATATTTTAAAGTAGAAAACAAATTTAAAGTAATTTCATCTTAGTTTAATAATGAAGTTTTACAAAATCAATAATAATAAATCTAATGATAATATTAAAAATAATAATAGTCTTATGGTGTTTTATCTCATCTTATTTTATACAAACTACACGGTGAATGGCAACTTTGTAATTATTATTCCCCACCCAGGCCCCCGTGATTTATTGAAATTCCATAACTTAATACTACCTCCGTCCCATATTGGTTGTCCTCTTTCAATTTGGCACGATTATTGATAAAGTGGTTAAAAAGTAAAAGTTGTGATTGAGATTTGAGTAGAATAAAGTGAAATGATAAGGACCACATATTTTTGCCAAAAAAGGAAACAAGACATTCATTTTGGGAGAACCCAATAGGAAAAGTAGGACAACCAAAATGGGACAAAGTACTATGAAAACGTTGATCTTACCAAGTATATTCCCACAATAACTAGTTATGGAATATTCCTTTTACAGAATATCATGAACTAAGTAGTACTTAGTAGTATGTACTACACTCACCAATTCACCATGCAAGAACTGCCCCTATTTGAACTAAATTTGCAATAGAAGCATAAGCAAAGTAGCAGATGGACACAGAAAAAAGGGGTTAAGAATGCCCGGCCGCCAGCGATATCAATTGCAGAGAGCTGCTAATTAAAGCCTTGCCACGTGTCGCCAGTCATGTCTTCATCCCCAGTGATGGCCGATTAGTCCCTTTATGCATGTATAGAGACAATAAGTAATATAAGGTTCATCGCAGTTATGTGTAGGACATTAATTTAGTTTAAAACTATGTAGACAAACACATAGCGTAAATGTAAGAATAAAAAAGTTATAGGAATCTAGCTACTCCCTCCGTCCCTTAAAACTTTGCCAACTTTCCTTTTTTGGTTGTCCCACTAACTTTGCCACTTTCCTTTTTAAGTAAAGAATTTGTGGTTATAGTTAATTCTCTCTCCTCTGCACAAACCTCTACCACACAGTTTTTACTTTATTAATCCCCGTGTCGGTCAAACTTGGCAAAGTTTTAAGGGACGGAGGTAGTATATATAAAGTGCTATATGTTGAAGAACTAAAACTGTTTAAGTCTGCCTATGAGTGTGTATCTGTCTATATATAATTTGTGTGCAAGTTTTTCTGTCTTCGAGAAATAACCACAAAGTGTTTCAGGACATTTGAAGTTTGGTATGATTCCTTTGTGACTGTACAGGCACATGTGTGTACATGCAAAAGCTGTTTATGCAGAGAAATGTAGTGTTCCGAATGTAGGCAGCTGCCCAGGCACGAAAAGACTCCACAAATTACCCTGATTGGTGAGGAGTTTTTGGCTTGGTATGTTTGTCACGTGCTCAAACTTGGCAATACAAATATAGGAGGAATTATTTAGATCTTAAGGAATATTTGCAACTGCTTCTGGTTAAAAAAAGCACTGTTGGAGTGTTTTGGAAAAAGTGATAATAAAAGTTGATAATGTTTGAGAAACAAGTGATTTTGAAAAGTAAAAGTTAGTAGTGTTCGGTAAGATAAGTGTTTTTTGTGTAATAGTAAAGGGAAAATCACTTTTCACACGCAAGTCGAGAAAAAGTAAAAATTGATAGTGTTTGGTAAATAACAGCTTTTTAATCCAAAAGCTGAGCAACGCTTTTTTTAAGCTATTGCAAACACTCCCTTAATATAGTACTTAATTACTTTACAATTTTTCGACGTGGGAATTCAACACCCCTTCTTACGACCAAACATATCATATCATCATTCACTTTTTATTAATTCATCATTATCATTTTTTTAAACGTGTCATCATTTTTCATAGAGGATCACACCATGTATCGATTGGGGTGTCATCATTTGATTTCATCCTAAAAAGTCAATCTGATAAAAGGAATAATCTAGATCTTAATATAGCAAATAATTCCTTCACAACTTTCCGAATTCAACATTTTGTATGCAAATTGTTGTTTTTGTCCCCGTTTTTTTTTTAATTCGAGTCCTTAATTAACTTGGTCCAGTTCAGTGTAATTGCTCAGTAAATTAAGTTGCTCATGAGTCTAAGTCCTGATAATGAAATAATCATATCTGGGCATCTCTTAAAGTTCCATAAGAACATGGGCATCCTTTTGTTTTATCTCCTCAACGATCATGTTAGCATTGAGAAGTTTGGGGTGAATGAACCATTTTACAAACGACAGGATTAGAGAATCTACCAAACTGACTAGGTTACATTAGGAGTGTTTGCATTTGCTCATTCTCTTGAAGATCATATAAAAACTGATTACTAGTAAAAAAAATCTTTGAAGATCATACAAAAATTACATACTAGTAAAAGTCGATAGTATTAAAGAAGTTATTTTCAAAAACAAATACAAAAAATTAACCCAATTAAAGTGTTTGATAAAATGATACTTTTTGTAATAGAAATTGTAAAAAACAGGTAAAACACTACCTTAGTCTTTTGTAATTTAAAGTCGGAAAATCGCTTTTTACAATGTAAAACACAGCTACTATATTACACAATTGGAACTTGGAAGAATGTAAGGATTAAAAAGGACTTCCCCTTGTATTATATTTTATGCTTATAACATTCCATATCTTGCCCAAAGATCATGCGTTACTATTTTTACACAAAATTAAGATACGATTGCTGAATAAAACAATTAATTATTTAATACTCTGTATTAAGATAGCCTTGTGGTATTTAATAAGACAAAAATAACATGCTCTAAAAATCATCACCTAAACCCACCGTAAGGATGTTTTTACTTGGACTGTAATTTGCTAGTCAGGTCTGGTCTGATCTGGTCTGAACTGGTCTGGTTTCTTTGTATTTTTATAACTATCCAAGTCTGGTCTGTTCTGGTCTGGTCTGATCTGGTCTGGTGTAGGACAAATTACAGTCCAAGTAAAAACACCCAAGTCCTATTTACAGCTTGGGTAAAAAGTTGAATAAAATCAAGAATCTCAGTAGAGAAGCGTGTGGACTCAAAAAAGTGCAGAGAAATGAACAAACCCGATTGGGTTGTCCAATAATATATACCAAAACTAACAGAGCAGAGAAAGGACGACAGTAGCCCGCAGGCAAAAGTAAAGCACCTGAAAAGCATAGTTTTTCCAGTTATACACTTCTTCTTTTAATGCCATAAAAACATTCTTCCATCTTCTGTCTCACAATCCAACTCCATCTGGTTCTGCAAATAAAAAATAAAAATAAATAAATAAATGGGTTGCTGTTTCACAAAAGCTCATAAGAGTCAACTCCCATTATTTCCATCATCCGATTCTTCTACGAAATATATGTCAATACCCATTATAGATGATGATGCAGAAGAAGAAAAGGTTGAACAAGAAGCAGGGGCGGTGCCTGCTGTGGGGCCCGTTCTAGGAAAACCATACGTAAACATCGCCACACTGTATGAGCTTGAGAGAGAGCTGGGGAGAGGGCAGTTTGGGACAACATATCTATGTACAGAAAAGACGACAGGATTGAAATACGCATGCAAATCCATTTTAACAGGCAAGCTGGTGAAGAGTGAAAAGGAAGTAGCAGACATGAGGATGGAGGTCAGGATGCTTGAGCATTTGAGCGGGCAGCCCAACATTGTAGAGTTCAAGGGAGCGTACGAGGACAGGAACCACCTGTATTTGGTGATGGAGCTTTGTTCTGGCGGGGAGCTCTTTGATCGGATAACCGCCAAGGGGAGTTACTCCGAGAAAGAAGCAGCTCGGATTGGGAGACAAATCGTGAATGTGGTTCATGCTTGCCACTTCATGGGAGTTATCCACAGGGACCTTAAACCAGAGAATTTCTTGCTTGTCACCAAAGATGATCACTCCCCCTTAAAGGCCACAGACTTCGGACTTTCTATTTTCATAGAGGAAGGTAATTGATTTCAAATCTATTAGCTCAAAAATCCCATCATGGTTTATCTCATGATACTACATTTGTAAAACATTGCCTCACAATATAGCATCATATACTCTTAAATATGTAGTATTTGTCTCACGCCGGCAAGCTCTAAAACAATAAAATAGACTTTAAACTACTCCTATCACATTAACAGAATGAAACTCAGGTCTTAACATATACGAGTGCTAAATAATAACAGGTCAAGAATGACACTGTTTGTTCTCACATACACACAACAGTGTTTATGTATATATACACCTGAACGACATACGTTTTTCAGGGCGAGTGTTGAGGGATATTGTCGGAAGTGCTTACTATATTGCTCCCGAGGTGTTGATGCGGAACTATGGAAAAGAAATAGATGTATGGAGTGCTGGAGTTATTTTATATATCCTTTTGAGTGGATTTCCTCCCTTTTATGCTGGTAAGTAACCAAGTACAAGGCTAATAATATTTCTTATAATTAGTTCTATGATGACATTCTAGCATCTTTGCTAACTAGATTAGTCAAACTTGGTATTGGTAACCCAGAAATGGAGAATGACATTTTTAAAGCAATCTTGAAGGCTCGGCTTGATCTTGAAAGCAATCCCTGGCCATCAATATCTCCAAGTGCAAAGGATCTTATCAGGAAAATGTTGACCATGGACCCCAAAAAACGAATAACTGCAGCTGCCGCCCTTGGTAAGTGTGTGTAGTTGGGACTGATTTCCCGCCCTTGAGGGATATAACTGCTGAATTGTCTAATAAGGAAGCGTAAGGTAAAATCAATTATACATTTGAAAGGGTAACTATTCTGATTATTTTACTGATAAGCAGAATAAGATCAATGCTATTAAAAGTGGGCTTTAGGTCTAGTTCCCTTTATTATTTAGTGTTATATGTTTGGGTGAAATGCATAAATGGTACCTTAACTATTGGTATCGTTGCGTTTTAGTACTTTAACTCTTAAATGAATCAAATTAGTACCATAACTATACACAAGTGTTTTAGTTGAGAATATTATTAAAATTTGAGGTAAAATATCCCACATGGCGATCAAAATTTCATGTGTAGAATTCACTCTTCAGTGATGACATGACAAAAGTAAGATGAAATGGAATTTACGCATATAATTTTGGCCGCCATATGATTTTTTGGCCAGAAATTTGAATAACATTGTGAATTGAACATTTATTATGTATAGTCATGTATTAATTTGATTCGTTTAAAAGTTAAGGTACCAAAACGCAACAATATCAATAGTTATGGTACCATTTATACATTTCACCCTACACGTACTACTAATTAGGTCATACCAAACCCAAAATATTTACACTAAAATCAGACCAAACAAAAAGTTAAGATCACACAAGATAGTGTATTTTAGACAATACCATATAGGTTCACATAACATCAGACCAAAATACTCAAGCCAGTTGAACCTGATAAAACTTGGTATCTAGTTTTAAATGAAATATGTGTGTTAAATGAGGATGACATATGTGTGTTAAATGAAATAGAACACCCATGGCTCAAGGAAGATGGTGACGCATCAGACACACCTATCAATAGTGTTGTTCTGATCAGAATGAAGCAATTTAGAGCAATGAACAAGATGAAGCAACTTGCTCTAAAGGTACCACCAATATAATACTGCACTATGATAATATTATTTTTAATATCGTCAAAGAAGGCATACTTTCAAGAAGTAAAAGAACAAAACTATTACCTCTAGGCTTTCGAAATATAAAAAAAATGACTAGTTTTTCTTTTTTCCCAAAATATGACTAACCTTTGTTTAGTTAATTCAAAATTTCTCAACCTGTAACTCTATTCAACCTCTGCCCCACCTCACCTCTGCCCAATGTAGCCCAAAATCAACACCGGTAATCTACGTTAAAAACCACAGCCGGAAACCGCTGCCGAAAAGGTCAATGGAATTTTTTACAGATTTTTTTTCAAGACGGTGGCATTGACATCTGCAATAACTGTTACATAATAAACTACAGTAACATTAAAAACTGGCTGTAAGATCATGATTTTCTAAAACTGTTACCTAGTTAATACTCCCTCCGTCCCATTTTGATTGTCCCACTTTCCTTTTTGGGTTGTCCCAAAATGAATGTCTTGTATCCTTTTTTGGCAAGAAATATGTTGTTCTTATCATTTCACTTTATTCTACTCAAATCTCAACCACAACTTTTACTTTTCAACCACTTTATTAATAATCGTGCCAAATTGAAAGTGGACAACCAATATGGGACGGAAGTAGTAACATTTTTGTCTATATGTAATAGTAGTCACTTTTTTTTAAATTGAACTTCAGTTTAGCCCTATTTATGGAAAAAACCCTTTTCAAGAACAGTAAATCACCTCATTTTCATCATTTATATTTGTTCTCTTATAACTGATAAATATTTATCTGAAATGGTGATTGCTTGAAGGTCATTGCAGAAACCATGCCAGAAGAAGAAATTAAGGGGCTGAAAGAGATGTTCAAGAACATAGACACAGATGGAAGTGGCAACATCACGCTTGATGAACTTAAAACTGGGCTGGCTAAGCTGGGCTCTAAGCTCTCAGAAGATGAAATAAAACAGCTGATGGATGCTGTAAGAACTTTCAGTACTCAACTCCTTATTTTGTGCTTCATAGATCTATAACACTGTCAAGTGTTTGACCATTCATCACATCTTGGGAAAATTCTTACATGGACCTGGTTTAATGTGGACAGTAGGCATTGAATCATTATATCACATGCATTGCATGTTGTACTCTCTAAAAGAGAACAAGCAATTGAAGAGTACAGTCTACATGTACTATGTATGAAGATATAGTTATTCGGGGTTGAGTTAAACCTAACCTTATACTTAACACACACAATGCACAAATCAGTTATAGCTAGAGTTCATTTAGAAGTCACTTGCGTTACACTCAGGCTGATATTGACAAGAGCGGGACAATAGACTACATTGAATTCATCACAGTCGCAATGCATCGGCATAGGCTTGAGAACGAAAGCAACTTGTTGATGGCTTTTAATCATTTTGATAAGGACAGAAACGGGTACACTGTTTCGCTCCCCCCATGTTTTCATAAAACTTCATGAGCTCCTATCTTTCTATAACTAACTGCAACATTTGTGTCCACCAGATACATTACCCGAGAAGAGCTGAGGCAAGCTATGAAAGACTACGGAATGGGGGATGAAGCTACGATTAGTGAGATCCTTAATGACGTGGATACAGATAACGTAAGAAAACGTGTACCCAAACCTTTTGCTCTGAATACTGTATTTGTATACACTGAAAGTTTATTATGTAGGATGAAAAGATCAACTATGATGAGTTCAAACAGATGATGAGAAGGGGTACTGTAGAGAATAAAGGCAAACAGTGATAGGAGTAATATTAACGATGCTGTTTACATCATTTTAAGTGATAAAAGCTGGTTGCTTAATATTTTCAATTTATTGTATATGTTACATTGGGTTTTGATGGATGTGCAAACACTGTAACCACCTTAAGCCAATAACTCTTCCACCACAGAGTGTAATCAATGTAGAAATAATTTGTACCAAATTTGGTTTAACAATGTACAAGTGTTGAGGTCCATTTTCCAATAATCTTCATACTAGTTATCCGCCTGTGCGTTGCACAAGAAGTTAATTATGAATACTAGAAATGTAAATTAATTTCTGGTTTTATGAATACGTATGTAGGATAAAATTATAAGTCAACACACAAATTAAAGTACAATTTATCACATATTAAGAGCTTCAAGCCAGATAGACTTGTACCCTGAAAATTGCATTATACAATTGTCCATGCGTAAAAATAGAAAGATGCAAGCTAAGTAAACAACCATTGTTTTCATTTTCCAACGATTCCCCTTACTTTTGTAGTTTCTTTTCATTCTTATTGTTGTCCATCAAGAATATTTTCCTATGCATAAATGTGAAAGGGAGTATGACATCTGTCGGGCACTCGGGCTAATACTAACCCTGGGAATAATAAAGTTTCACCTACATTAGTTTCATATATTATTTGAGTCTCATTCATATCCAAGTTTTATTTGAGCCTCACTATATGAATCCCAATTTTTTCAAATAAAAGTTAGGTACCATTACACATAAATTTGGACAGGTCTTGTTTTTTTGTCTTATTACTTCATTGTATCGAAATGCTGATAGAGATGTTGATATATGTCTGTATGTGTATGCAATACAATTATGTTTTACTTTTTTGTTACAGTGGAAGTATATGAGATAAATTAGAATGTTTGATAATATGAATATATAGATCATGTACTTGAGGTCATGAGGTGAATCGTGATTTTTAATTTCTTATTTTTTTAAGTGAGAATGAACATATGATTCTTAATGGCTATTATGGTAAAGGATTCTTATTCTTATCTATACATGATAAAGACTCTTATTGATTTGTTATAAATTATAAATGCACGTTTTCTTATAGTGTGCATAGTAATAATAGAAGATATATCTACATCAGTGGCGGAACTAGGGGGTGAGCCGGTGCCGCCGCCCCCATTCTCCGGCGTTCGTAGTGCATATATATGTATATATGTATGTGTAGCCCCTGCTCAGAGAAAAGTATTATACAAACTTACTCGTCTTAGAACCAACAGTACGATCAGTAAAGATGGTTAGCGCGTAGTATTCGTATTCGGCAGACGGGAGTTCAAATCCTCCTAGCTGCTTTTTTTTGTTTTTCCTATCATCCCAGCTTTCAATAAAGATTCTTCTCTTGAGCTTCCTTATCGGCTGCTTTAGTTTTTCCTATCATTTACATTTTTTCTTTATCACAGATTTCTATAACTTTCCATTTTAAATATTTTATTTTTCAAATACAAAATGTTTTTAACTTTTTAAAATATTGACATGTTATTTACACTTTTTGTGTAATGCAATAAAGCCAAAAATGATCTTTAATAATTTCTTCCGACTTTAAATATTGACCTATATCATTTGGCGTGCATTTTAATATATTTACATAAATAAAACAAATATCCTCCATTGACAAAAACAAAGCTATTGTTGTAATAAAAAAATTATGCAATATTTAGGTATACTTGTATTCAAACCTTGAATATTACAATTACATTATAAGCGTATTAAATTAAGTACAAAAATGAGTAAATGTCTATACTTTAGTTGTTGTTTTTTAAACCCGATAGACAAACCACCTTAGTCGGTAGGGTAAATGTTGTGGAACATTTAAGTTGATATGTATATGTATGCGGGTGCTTAGGTGTGTGTGTATATATATGTCCAAATAAAGAGTCACTTCATGAAAAAATGAAATAATTCTTCTACATCGATCGAGTTTGAGATCAAATGATACTAAATATATCAAGCGACAATAACCTAGATAAAAGTGGTGTAAACAAATTAATAGTGCAAATTAAATATATACTATTAATGAGAACAATTTTTTAAGTGCGATGTATATTTTGCCAGCTGAGCTAGCCTGCCCCCCTAAAAAAAGTTTCTGGTTCCACCACTGTACATCATTACATGGAATGGTAGAAAACATGGATTAAACTGGTAGATAAACAAGATGATACAATATTTATATATAGTTAGGATTCCTAGTCACAACTACGTATCTTTTAATAGCATATATGTGATAAGTATATAGTTAGGATTCCTAACTATCATGGAATATTTTTGTGAACTTTTGAACCCCAACAGATTTGGGCAATGTCGTGTGATGTTTTTAACGACGTTCCTTATGAAATGTTATAATCATGCACAAAGAATCCTAATTTGACAATAGACATGTTGGTGAAGTTCTTTTTCAGTTGGTCTTCAAACGCACATGCATTCAAACATTACCTTATTAATGTCAACATTCTATGAAGTAGCAAAAATCATAAACATTATATTCCAAGAAAATATTCTCTGTATAAAATAATAAAATTAGTATATTCTATGTATATGAAATTCTATGTATATTCTATGTATTCTAGAAAATATTATATTAGTATATGAATAAAATAATAATGAAGTAGCAAAAATCATAAACATTCTATGTTTCCGAGAAAATCAATCATCTAACTTGTATGCGATTACTCGGCAAGAAACTTGGAAAAACAGAACGGGCCAAGTGAGAGTGCTAATCGGTACGGCCACCTCCAGAGTTGTGAGTACTCGGTGAGAATATACAAATTCTTAGGAGTTCATACATGGATTTCCCCATTAATTATCTCCGGTTCTTCTCAGTTTGTTGTTTTTTCCTTAGTAATAAACGTATTGAATAGGGATTTTATAAGGATATACTGGTAACTGGTTACCTGTAAGGAAAACTCTCGGCCGTCTCTTCTCAGCTTCTTTGGATTAAGACACTGCTTCGTATCAACACTATACCATTACTTCATGGAAACTTAATGTAGAAACCAGATGTGTTGAAGCCTTGCAAGTCAAGCATTTGTTAACTTTAGTACTGCCATAATTAGCTTAGATGATGTTCTTCTCCAGTGGAGACCCTAAGAATCTGACCCATGTGACCCAAAATCAAAGTAAGTTACGTTCTTGTGAGTCTTGTTGTATTCTAAAACAATTTAAACATTTCAGATCATGTAATTTGGGTTTGGACCTTCATTGTCATCTATGTTTAAGAAATAAATAATCTAATGTGTGCTCCAAACACATTGGTGGTTTTATGAATGTAATATAAATTAATTAACATTTCCAGTATGGTTCTTTCGAATAAGTTAAATATGTTTCTTAGTTAGACTCGGTGATATAATTTTCAACTTTTTAAACAAGTAGATTAAAAGAATAGGAATATCATGTTTTATGACTTTATTTTCCATTTTTACCTTATCATTAAATGGTGAAAGATACATAAGGACGTCCTCAAACTCACATCTAGTTTGGAGCAGTGGAGCACTTGATAGTTGACACTAGGTATCCTTGTCCCAAGAAGGACACAGTTTGTTAAAGTCTCCCAAACGTGGATGCTAATTGTTAAATCCAGCATAGGTGACCATAAACTGATGAAAGTACCAAGAAACTGACATGGGAAAAAGAATCTTACACGTCTCCAAGATCAAGAAGGTTTCCTACTTCATCAGGAATGTGTTGTGTCCACTCAAACAATTACCCTGCAAAAACTTGTCACATAGGAAGAATGATGAGTGTCTTAGTTGAACAAATACATTAAGCAGAATAATCCTTTATACATAACTAAGGTCCACTAACTAGTGATTACTGACCATTAGAATTAGGCAAAACTGGAAGAAAACTTTCAAAGATCCTTCTATTGAAAATAAAATGGATGGTTGACTCTAAAGGAGACTTACAAGGACTTCAGCATTGTAGAGTTTCCCAACTGAGAAGGTAATCCCAATAAAGTTGTGTTACGAATGCATATCTGCGACCTCGTCCAGGGACTGAACACTTCAGGGGATGATAGAAATCTGCTGATGGACCAGAATTTATGAAGTATTGGAGCGAGAGAATAAATTAAAATTTAAGATGGAATTACTTCAGTACCCCCGACCTTGTCGGGTGACATGCACAAATTAATTATTTCAAAAAGTATATTATAATTAATACTCTGGTCCCTTATACCAAGAGCCCCAATTTCTAAAAGAAATCATGTAACTTGGGAAGCTAACTAAAACTGAATAAGGAAATAATAATCATTATATGAATAGGAAACTAATATTAAGACTAATAAAGCTGCCTCTCACGTCAACTCAATCAGCGACTTTGCTGGGCCGGGTGGTCTAATTGGGCCACAGTTGGGTTGGCCAAATCTGGCCCATCTGATCGTCTAGTTGCTTCTTGCAATGGCACTGATAAGTACAACCCAGGAAGGTCTCTGTAGCATGTTGCCATGAAGTTATCTGCTAATACAAATGTTGTAACTTCGTTAGTAGATTATCAACAGCTGTAAGCATTTATGCAAAACAGAAATAATGATTCGTACATGTATTGTAGATGTTCTAGTTTCCCAATATGTGGTAATATAGGCCAACTCCAATTTGTGATTAGATTCCTAGATTTTAAAATAACAATTAACACTAGCAGTTTAAAATTGTAAATTCTGTGTCCAATTAAAATGAACTGAAAATGCCCATAAATTTAAAGATTGTTGGTCTGTTATCTTCAGTTGACGGTAAGAGAAATGTATATTGTACCAAATGGGAAAAGAACACAGGGCCAATAAGTTACAATGTTAAAAGTGAAGTATCAACAATCGTATAGTCAGTTAGAATTTTATGTATCAAATATATGAAAATTAATTGAGTGAAGAATATAATATAACTACGTAATATGGAGTAGAAACTTTGCTTTTTCAAGGATAAATGTATCACCCATAAAATACCATGGAATAAGGAATGTTTTATGTTAAAACTCATGCAACCAGAGTTTGTATGCATTCATGTATTGTTTAACAAACTTGAGCAATTTATCCCACAAATCAGGCAATGCCAAAGAGCTAATATTGTGACATTATTATGCATAGAAAAGGAGAGACGAATCCTATAGAAAGCATTAATTTGGGTGCTTTTCTAGTTTTCTGTACCACTATCTTCATTGGGAGGGTAACTTCCGCATGTTTTTTCTTTTATGTGCTTTTCTTAATTTGTTTCTTGTTTAATAGAGGTACTAGACATATTAATGGAAATAGTATACAAACATACAAATACATATATATACCTACATGCATATGTATATTCATTGATTAGGTAGTGATTTGGATCAGGTATTTTATGTGGCATGGTCCCATCACATTTATTATTTAATCTTGAAATTTAGGAATTTAAGCAACAATGGCGTCCAATATTGAATTTCTTCTCATCTAAGGCTATCATGGCCAACAAACCTCATCAATCAGCTATTCTAACTGGATCAGGATCATTAGATCTCCACTGGCGAAGAAAATCATCTGAACTAAATATTGCACTTCAAAAGTTAAGAAGCGCTAGACCTGCAACATGGGGCATTCCAAATGAACTTCTTATAGCGATTATATTTGTAATAATATCATGATAGAGTTCGAATACATTACCCAATAGTGAGTTGAAAGTAAATAGTAGTCTCGGGCTGTTTAGTTCATGATCTAGGAATAATAATATCAATGAAGCCTGGTAGAGATGAGAACAATAGGCTAGCTGGTCAAGATCATGTCACCAATAATCATTACAGGAACACGTGCCATCACAGAAGTGGTGAAAATGATTAACATCGCGAATAACTATTTTTCGATGTGTTATTAATGACGACAACTTCATGAATTGATGGCAATCTCCACATATCCGAAGATTTTTGAAGATTATTATGGTATGGTTTGTAGCGTGACTTATGAGTGCAAAAGCTAGAGCCAGCCTTTCACTATGATGTAGGAGGTTTACTCTTTTTTCCTGATCTTGTACATTATGAAGTGAATAATCCTTGTTTGGAATATAGCCTGCTGAATTAAGTTGTAAACAGAGCTCATCCAGTTTTGCATGTATATCGCTTATTCTTGGATGTGAGGCATCCTGAGATAGAAAGACATGGATTTGAGTGTCAACTTCAACCCAGCTACAACCAGGTTCCTTTTTAACCCCCTGATCAGACATAAATGCTCTCATCTTTGCCACATCCTTCCACCTCCCCTTTGCGGCATATATATTGGACAGCAATATGTAACTCGAATCCACTTTAGGTTCATGTTCAAATAAGAAATTCGCTGCCATTTCTCCCAATTCAACATTTCCATGAATCGTACAAGCACCAAGAACAGTCTCCCAGATTAATGCATCTGGAGTAAGCTCCATGTGCTGAATGAACTTTTCCACCTCATCAAATCTTCCGGCTCGACCAAGGATATCAACCATACAAGCATAATGCTCGGGAGAACGAATGATTCCGTAAGTGTTGGTTATCGACTCAAAGTGTTTTCTCCCATCAGCAACCAAGCCCAAGTGGCTACATGCAGAAAGAACGCCAATGAAAGTAGTTGCATCAGGCAAAATACCTTCATTCAACATCCTCCTGAAAGCTTGTAGAGCTTTTTTGCCCATCCCATGCTGAGAGTATGTGCATATAATTGTGTTCCACAACACAGTATCATATGACTCAATGCCCTCAAACAGAGTCTCGGCATCAGCAATGGCCCCACATTTACCATACATATCAGCTAATGCACTGGCCACAAACAAATCACTGAAATGCCCAGACTTAACTGCTAAGCAATGCAGCTGCCTTCCATTACTAAGGCTTGCTATACGTGAACAGCCACTCACACAGCTTGCAAGAGTAAATTCATTTGGCTTGACATCTTCCTTCAACATCTGACTTATGCATTCAAAGGCCTTTTCCCCTTGATCACTTTGTGCATAGCCTGAAGTCATCACCGTCCATGTGAATACATCTTTCTGAGCCAACCTAGTGAAAATAACTTCAACATCATTCAGGTACCCACATTTAGAATACATGTCAATCAGAGCAGTTCCTACATAGCAATCTCCGCTCAAGTTCTCCTTAATTACATGAGCATGTACTTGTTTCCCAAAACCAATGTCTGACAGGCTGGAACAAGACCTCAGAATGCTTATAAATGTGTACAGATTTGGCTTGAATCCCTCAATAAGCATCTGACTGAAAATCTTCGGCCCCTCGTGTGATGTTTCATCAGCATGAAATCCCGATAAAAGCCCATTCCAAGTAATAACATCCCTTGAATTCATAGAGCAAAAAACTTTGTAGCCATCATTATTTAATCCAAAATTCATGTACATTGAGATAAGAGTGTTGCTCACCAAATTCTCAGAGTCAAGTCGAAATTTCAAAACACAAGCATGGATGCTTTTGCAAAAAAACAGATCACCTAAATCAGCAGATGCACTAATGACACTTGCAAGAGTAAACTGATTAGGTCTCACGCCAGAATGCATCATCATTTGAAAAACAGAGGCTGCTTCTTTTTTATATCCATGTTGATCAAGGCTACATATCATTGTACTCCACGAGACAACATCAGGACTTCTTATTCTCTTAAAAACTTTAAGAGAATCCTCAGGCAGTCGGCACTTGGAATACATATCTACTAGACTAGTGCTTATAAAGTCATCAAGTTCACTTCCAATCTTTATTGCCAATGAATGAACTACTTGGCCAGCTCCCAAGTTGCCCTCGTTAGCACAACTCTTTAGAACAGTGCTTAATGTGTAATTGCTTAACCTGAATTCTGACTCAGACAAACAACAAAACAATCTTAAGACCTCTTGCCCATCGCCTTCTTGTGCATACCCATTAAGCAAAGCATTCCAAGATACTAAATTTGGTTCTGGCAAATGAAGGAATACTTTTTTCGCATCTTCTATCTCATGACATTTAGCATAGAAATCAATAAGCGCAGAACTACAATAAACATCTGAGGTGACAAGTTTTACTACATTAGCATGCAACTGTTTCCCAAACTCTAAATTCAAGCACATAGAACAACCCTTCAGAACTGTGGACAATGTAAACCCATTAGGGATTACACCTTCCCTCCGCATCTCACAAAATAATCTAACAATTTGAATATGATTACGTTCAGGTAGATATCCTGAGATTAGTGTTGTCCATGATACAACATCCTTCTCAGGCATCTGATCGAACACTTTGCGTGCAGAATTCAGATCTCCACATTTAGCATAAAAATTGATCAAGGAAACAAGCACATGTGCATCTAGGTCAATTAAATTTCTAACCAGCTCCCCATGAAGCACTTTTCCTTCTTTTAAGAACATCTTTTCCGCATAATCTCGGAACACTTCTGAATACCAGTGTAGCACTCTCATTCTACTTTCACTAACCTTTTTAATACCTTGAGTTCCTTGGTCCACATGAACCCCCAATGGCACAAGCACACTATTTCCCAAACACATTTTTCGGGGAGAACTCCTAAACCTGCTGGGGGCTTGCAATTTCAGAACTTTCAAATCTTTATATAGCAAACTCTTTCGGGTGGTTTCTGTTTCTGAAGCGTGAAGAGTAGTGTACGAACAAGCAGAACATTCAATGGATGAGAAATAATGCTTAGGCTCATAGAGGCATCTTATCAAACGCATTTGGGGTGTGGGTGAAAAGGCCTTGATGGACCGTCTTGAAATCCAGCAAGATTTAAACATCTGTACTGAAAAAAAATCACATTCCATCTGTGCCATTGAAAGCAAGGTCTTCAGAAATGAAAACTCCAAGAAAATTTGATATGAAATGGATCTACAAGAAAATTTTCAAATAATAGCATACAAAAGTTCAGGATACTCAACAGTTATGTCTTAGTACAGGATATAATTGTGGACATCCTAGTTAACAAACACGGAGCAAAAAATGTACTCTGAGTACTGAAATAAGAACCCACAATACTATTAACTTTTAAGAGCTAAGCCAGAAAAAAAAACGAAAAGTTGAAACGCCAAGTGATTTGAATATAGAAAATCGAAAAATCCTAATATGGTTATTATTTGAAATATACTAGTATGATTTTCTCTAAAAAAAAAAGTGTCAACCTGTCATTTGTGCAAAAACAGAGAAGTTGAAACATTAAGCAATTTAGAAACAGATCATCATTATCATTACCCCAAATCCCCAATGCCGCAAAGGCTCCAACCTACGGTGGGGTAAGGGGGGTCAGATGTATGCAGTCTTACCCCTATGTATGCAGTCTTACCCCTGTGCTAAAGAACAAAGAGACTGTTTCCGGATGACCCATAGCAATTTAAAAACACATAAATAGAAAAAAACGACCATGAAATGCTCGAACTCTACTAGTTTGGCTTTCTTTTATGTTGAAAAAAATAGTGCCAACTGCCAATTGCCCATGCTCTCAATTAGCAACAACTATCTCCTTTATTCATGCATCCTCTTAACCAAATTCATGTGCTCTATGGCTTCTATCTTAAATGTTACTCCCTCCGTATTTTTTTGTTTGCAACAATAGGTGTTGGCACATTTTTTTAGATTCAAATAGTATGGGTAATGAATAGTGTAGAAAAAGTAGGAGAGATGGTGGAAGAGTATGAAAGAGAAGATAAAAAGTAGAAAAGCAAGGGTAATAGAGTATTTTTAAAGGAAAAACTTACCAAAAAGGGAAAGTATAGCAAATTTTTGAATACATCCAAAAAAGGAAACTGTAGCAAACAAAACAATACGGAGGGAGTATTTATGTTGATACTTAGACTCACATAACGAGAAAAGAGAAAAAATAAAAAACTTCCAAATATATAAAAATTCAAAGAACTAACCTGTTCATTGATGAAACTGACGAAGCGAAACTGACTGAATTGGGGTTTGAACCCTGTTGTAATGTTGTGTAGAATTTGAGTAAATATTTTGCTAATAATGCAGTCATGTCATACAAAACATTCTAGGATCAGAGCTAGCAACCACAGCTATTGAGTTAATTGCGTTCTTCCAAAAACTATTTATGAAAAATGAATATTAGTATTGACTAAATGCAGTGAAAGTTATGGATCAAAGCATTCATGAGATAATTTTAAGTATGACCAACAGAATACTTTGGTGGAAACAATTTTGTACTTCATACTCATATTAAACAAAAAAATCCATGTATTTGATATAAAAAAAATAGTGTAATAAGAAAAGAACGGGGCTCAATATTTAAATTAATAAACAAATAAAAATTGAAGCAAAAAACTTAGTAAAGAACAATCTTAGCTTATAGATCATGCATGTTATTTAATTGTTATAGAAATTTTGAATTATCAACAAACTAAAATTCTTATTAAAGTTTACTAACAGAAGAACACAAAATGTAACAGAAAATACCTAATAAATACATACTGCTTATTAATATAGAAGGACTACTAACTGCCAAATCAAAAACCAATTTATCCAAAACCTTTCTACCAAAAAGAACTAAATTTTAATTGCAATTTCTCATACTCTTCAAGCAGTTAATGTTGATAGAATGCATTTCATGCAAGTTTAGGCCTCCTCAATACTAAATTCAGTACATTAAAGTTCAAGTTAAGCAAAGCGTTTCAAAAAATACAACTATATCTTTGCGTATTAGGTGAAGGTCCTGAAGGAGGCCTCTCTTATGTCCAATAAAACTAAATACTAGCACAAAATAATAAATGAAATATTCGTAGTTCATATTATTGAAAGAATAAGACTAAAATTTTAGTGCATCCTCTTGTTACTCCTCTTGTTACTTATCTCTGTTATTTTGCAAGTTGTCTTAAATATATCTCTGTTACTTATCTCAAATTGAAGAGAAACATATCAAGTCAATTAAAGACCAATATTAAATACATAATCTTTTGGGAATACGGCTTGGATGTTGTTGTTGTTTGAGGGATTATGTACATAAAAGGTGTAGAAAAGTAGCTAGATTATTGACATCACTGAGGCCCACATGGTTTAAATGTTTAATTGGTCGGCCACTCAAGTACACTAATGCATCATGAGTAAATCCTTCACTCACATCAACTTATACGTCTTGATACCATGAGTCTAAGTATGGTACATATTTTAGTCTTGCTTCTTTGTCTTCTACTCTTCTTACTTAGGACATTAGTCTTGTTCCATTCAAGAGTGATTATTTCCATTCTACAGAAATCACCCCCCTCCGTGTTTAATCAGTCCATCAAAGTCAAAGGAAAGCCTTTGAAAGTCATTGCTAACTTCTTTTTTCTTAAAACAATGAATACTTAGCTGACGTACTTCGTGGTATGGCTCCTATAACATACTTAAATTCGCAAACCAGTAAGGAAATGATTCCATAGACTTACATAGAAGGGCTTTCTAATATGAAAAATGCAAAACTGTTATATTAGAAGCAAACTTCCACTCTCGAAAAAAGATAGTGGTTACTGGTTAGACAGCTCGCCATGATATCAACAAGCAAATTTTCTAACATGAAGTGCAGTGCTCTATGTCTAGAAAAACAAAAAAAGCACTCAAGCCAATTGGTTGGAGGGAAATGATCTAAAAATTTTTAACAAGGTAATCGCATATAATTGTAAGAAATGATGTTTTAATCCACAAACTAAACCAATAACAAACCATATAAAAGTATAGGTTTCTATCAGGGGACAAGTATTTAGGAAAAATGCAAACCTAATAGTGAAAATCACACTGTGTATCCCCCTAACTCAATAGAATAGTCAAAAGTAGAAGAATGGAAGAATAAAAATAAATGCCATTCATGCAAATGAATGAAAGGAATCGGAAGAAGGAAAGAAATTCAAAGGGAAGAATAGTAGCTTACCAGTGTGCAAAATGAGTGGCTACGGCAGCAGCTACTCAAAGAGGGATACTTAACGGCTAACGCTAGTCTAAATCAAGAATAGTTGCTAGGAACAGTATAGAGCTGTAGAGGACTGTGGAAGTGTGGAACCGTGGAAGCATAGAGAGGATGAAAAAAGGTGATAGGAACATAGACAGTTGCACTAATAAGAATACTAGAATAGTATTAAAGAGTGTAATAGAGTATAAATGTAGATTCTGGGCCATTTGGTTAATCTGGAATAATGGGCCTATTATTGTAGATAATAATAAGTGGGCTTGTACTATAAATAGAAGGGAAAGGAAAACAAATGAGGTAGGCAAGTATTCTGTTAGGAATGGGCTGGAGACTGGGCATCTCGAATCGTCCAAGGCTACTGTATTCCTTTTGTTCTGTTCATCCTCGATAATAAGAATTTCTGATCCTTTCCTCTTTATTTCCTATTGATTCTATACTGTTTTCAGCTAGCGTTTGCCACTGATCTATCAAAAGGCTACTAGCAGGGTGACAAAAAATGGATTTTTTATGGAAATGGGCCGATAAAGTTTGCTTATTTTCAAACTACCCTTTTATCATTTTGAAAAATTATGAAATGGTGAAATTAAGTAAAAAACATACCAAGAAAATGGCAGCTGGAGCAGGGCCAGTAGTGAGAAAATGGGGACCTTGTGCAACAAAAAAATGCACAAATAAAAACTGAGCCCTCCTTTCTAAGTTCCAACACAAGCAATTTGTGTTAAAGTAGAAGTTACTAATGAACATAATAATAAAAATAAAAGTATCTTTTGAATAAACGAGCCAAGCTCTACCATATTTCTCTCCATTACGCAAATTTCGGGTGTAAACTATAGCTAAGAATCTTCTAGAGAATTTATCTCTGGGCCTTAGACAAAAGTTAAATCTCTTTTGGGACCATTTTGCACCAAAATGCCTATCAACTTTGAATTAAGAGCAACCCAATTTCTTGGATTATATATGTCAAACAAAGCTGAATTATTTGACCTATCATCTAGAATATCTATTCCAACAGAACCGGCCATATGGGGGAGGAACCTAGGCATATGCCTAGGGCACCATTATAACTTGGGGGACCAATTTTTAAAAATTAAACTATTATTGTTATATAATGGGGTACTCGTATTTGGTAAAACAAGAATGGGAATAGAACAAAAGCAAAACTAATACAGAGTAAAAATTAGACGGATACTATCTGTCTGTTTCATGTGACCTATGCTCCAGTAGATCATTATCAATAATTGAGAATTTAAAATTCAAGAAACTATAAAACTTAACTACTTAAGTGAAGGTTATTAGTAAAATCTTTTGTCTTCTATAAGTACAATTTTTGTAATAGCTAAGCCGTATGTTTCAGGGAGTATCACTGTCAAAAAACTTCGGTATATGCACGGAAATTTGGCTCGTAAACACGCCCAACGTAACTAAGTTTGGCACGGAAACGAAACGCGGTACTGTGACGGATTTGGCTCAGAAAAAGCCCAGCCAAAATGTGGATTTTAACATTTTGTGACAAATTCTGCGCCAATCCCGATAAATTATAAAAGAAGTTGGCCGGCGACGTATACCGTCCCAAAAACCGTCACAATTTACGTCGGAACATTTTCCGTGCCAAAATTGAAAACAAATTTATTTTGTTTTGGCTCGGAGTTTTCGTAGCCAAAGTGTACTGAGCCAAATGTTGAGTCAAAAAATAGCCGTTGCTTATCTGAAAAGGAAAATCATGTTCTAAATTTATACATTATGAAATATTCAAAAAGTTGTAATTTAGTGATTATAATTTAGTACTAAGTACTAACATTACTGTTATTTTGTAAATAAATTTTCTTAAACATTACTTTGATAAAAATATTGTAAAAATATATCTTCATTCAGTAGTGCCACATGATAGATAAAACTTCTAGCTAAGTTATTATGTCCTCCGTCCCATTTTACCCATTTTATATGTCTTACTTTCCTTTTTAGGTTGTCCCAAAATAAATGTCACATTTCTCTTTTTGAAAAGAAATATGTGGCTCACACCATTTCACTTTATTAAACTCAAATCTCAACCACAACTTTTACCTTTTCAACCACATTATTAATAATATGTCAAACTCAAATGAGACACATAAATGGGACAAATGTAGTAATTAATAGAAAAACGAGTGATTTACTGTGAATTTTAGTTAAGTACTCACGAATTTTACACTTCTGAAGGGAAGAAGAAAATATTTATATAAGTAGGCTTTCTATTTTATGTACTGCAAAGATAATTGTTAACAAAAAATATAGTTTGGTACTTAAAATAAACTAACCTATATATAATTTATTGAGAAATAAAACATTGCTAACTGATATGGAAATGTAATTTTGATTTTTGTCTAGAGCACTAAATCAGCCAAAGACAGCCCTGTATTCCAATGTCCTCATTATCAGCATTCTCAGCCTTGTCATTATCAACTGATTTTGAAGCCATATGAGTATCACGGTAATCTGGTATTTCAACATTATTTTCAACATCTATATCCTGTTGTTCATCCTCTTCAGCTCTCCAGTCTCTTTAATAACGAATTCATTAAGAGCTCCTTTTAAAGAAAAGATTAACTTTTCAAGTGTTTTTTTCTTTTTAAGCTTCTCATACCCAGGAGATGGGTATTTCTTTGATGTTTACTACCATCTACCAATTATTGAAATCCTCCCCTAATCCTGTGCATGTTTACAAATTTTATGTTAACACTCAGTTTAGATTTTGGGTGAGACCATAAAAGACTACAATTATAAAGTATAAACCTAAAGTTACCTAATAAGTAATAACATATTTTAATACTTGAACAATTTCTTAATTGTTAAATACAATTATTATCAATTAAATTACTTATTAACTTCAATAAATAAATAAGTAGCAGCAACTTAATTAGCAAATAGCAATTAAAGAGAGAAAATTCAGACTTACCGAGGCGCAGGCGACAGTGGCGCCGTGAGCCGCCGCTGAGGTCCGTGAGGCGTGAGTCCGTCGCTCACTGGGTCGGCCTTTGTCGCTTCTCGCTTCTCTTCCCGTCTTCCGTTCCAGCTTGATTTCTCTTCCTTGGACCTGGCCTTAAAACATAATGGGCCTGTGTGAGTGGGCCGGGTGTCCATGCTTTGAACCATTGTGCAAAAAGGCTACGAACTTTATCAATCTAAAACCTGAAAGATAGAAAAATTATGAATCTTGAACCTGCATCGGTATAGGACTATAGGTCCCGAATGATTGGAAATATTCAAAACCTGAATCATTGAAAATTATCAATGTAGAATCTAAGTTGCCATGATTTTTATTATTATTTTTATTTTAAAAATTTAAATATTTAGTTTTATTAAACTAATAAAGTTTTGTGAAGAAAAGTTTATCAAAATTTAGCAATCAATTTAATAAAAAATTAAATAAATCAAAATTTATAAAATTGTAGGTCCTAGGTTGATTATTTTTAAATATTATTTTTAATTCATCTATCTTTTGGGTCCTGAATTGATATTATTCTTCTATCCTCTAGGGCCTCTACAGAAAAGCCGAGTAAGTGAGAGTATTATAAAAGCATGTGAAGTTGTGATATTTAGGTAAATTTCAAAATTTGCCATTTAAGACAAATTTGATATTTAATCTATTCTAGAGACAAAAAATCAGTATATAATACTACCTCCGTTCCCTAAGTTTGGGACAAGAGAAGGTAGCACGGTTGTTTATAAAAGTGTGTTTATGTGGTTGATATTGAATTGATAAAGTAAGAATAAAGTAGGAATGATTTAGAGTCACACAAATTTTACCAAATAAGGTATAGGACAATCTTAGTGGGACGGACCAAAATGGTAAAATGGACAATCATAGCGGGACGGAGGGAGTAGATTATAGAAATTATAGAATCAATGAAAGTAAGCACTTTTTCTATCATATTTATCGCCTTTTAGCGATAACATGTGTTAACTTTGTCAATCACTAGTTGGTCGCATCATTATTTGGATTTTGGGTCAACTACTCGACCAAAATTGGTTTTGTTACAGAGTTTGATAAGTAAAGTTGATGTGGTGTTACAAACTTAGAAGATTTCATTGAGTGAGTTTTGGAAGATATCACATTGATGACAATTATAGACCTATTTGAAATAATAATAGAAATTCATTTTGACCTCCATTTCGGATTGAAATTATAATAGAAATTCATTTTGACCTCCATTTCGGAATCATAATTAGATGGAATTGTTCTAAGGCTTGGACTCAGAAGTTACATCAAATGTTATTTAGTATGAAATCTACACAATGTAAAGTGTTTCTCAATATGTACGTTCATTATGACTAAATTTTATGAATTTTTAAAGTTTAAAGATACATTTATATATTCATAGAGAAAATTTTAACCATTATAAGATGCATCCTTCGCAACGCACGAGTGAACATTCTAGTTTCCATTACAATTAGGGGTGGATCAGGTCCAACACTGTTTGAAACCGAACTAGGTCCAATTTTACGATCCCAAATCAAGACTAAGTACCCGAACGAATAACCAAATGGCCCGGTGTCGGGTTTGAATTTTGGGGACCAGACCAAGCAGTCCCGACCCAACCATTTTTTTTTTGCCTTGAAAATGAAAAAGAAAATATAACCAAACCGGATCCAGCCCAAGACCGGAATTGAGACCGAACCTCCCAAGTACCCAAAACGGGCCGAACCCGAATTTAACTGGGTTAGACCTTTGGACCCAAGCTTCCCTAACACTGCTGAGACCGGGACCAAGACCATGTCCACCCCTACTTACAACATAGTCATTTTATTTAAAAGGCAGGATAAATGAAGGTCCATGTATTTCAATAGGTTAGAATTGAAGGCATTTTCTATTTGTAGAGAGCTTTCTACAAATAGAAATGATAATAATGTGATCTTTCTATATAGAAATAGTATGTTCTCCCTACGGCCTACATAGGACTAAATTAAGTCTCAGAGTATCCACATTCATGCTACTAAAATAAACAGATTTTTTGATGACACATAGTTTTTTTCAAAATAATCTCATACCTAAATTACATCATTCATAATCTCAAAATAATCAAATCTTTTGTGGATCGTGCATTCACTAATTAATGATAGCTTCACAATAATCTTGAGATAATATACATTCATATTTCAATCCTGGATTATTTTATCAAATTATCTCACCAAATAATTTCCAACATCCAATCATGATCCTTAAAATAATCCTCTAATAATCCTATGGATAGAGATGCCCTCACAACAGATGTGAAACCATTAATGTCATAACCAATACGGAGTAATATTTTCTAAACACGCCAATTCATGTTTTGAACATTGTTTTGACTCTCATTTATGGAAATTTCTGTTTAATATACAAACCAATTTAGAAACAATAGGTTTAGAAAAATTAACGAGAGGACAAGTAATAAAAAAAGGTATGAGAGTTATAATACAGATGATCGCTTTGCATACACGTGGAACAACAAGGCTAATAACGCACATGAGGAATAAAACCAATACCCTGAAAAGGAAAAAAAGAAGTTGCAAAACTGCTGCACAGAAGAAGGGTTGTTGATTGCGTGTTTGTGTAGTGATGATCCCTCCATACTTAAGGCTCATGATCGTACATTCCAAGGAATGAAGCGGCAGAAACCAAAACTGAAGCTCCAGGAAGTTGTCTTTGAGATTATAAGCATTCTTAGTGCTTCAATCAGAGCTAGAGTCATAAAAGTCACTAGGACATGGTGTCATGATTTCAGATTCAAGTAGCTGAAGTACCCTATGCATAGTGGGTCGATCCTCTGGGTTTGAAGACACACATTGTATTGCAATTGAAAGCAGGGCGTCAAGGCTTTCTGCCTGCATGCCTTCACAGGATGGATCCACTATGTCCTGTGGTCTGTTCTCAGCGACCAGAAAATTTAACTGCAATATGCAAAAGTGACCTATTAAGCAAGGTGGTAAGTTGTATTTACGACCAAGAGCGTTCACTACATCTTATAACTGTGTTATGTGTAAGTCGGAATCTTCATATATAAACATAAAAAACTGAAAAAAGTGCAGAAGGCATACCCAACCAACTATGTTAAGGCCCTTCTCAATGAATGATGCATCAGTGGGACGACTTCCACTTAATATCTCAAGTACCAGAACCCCAAAACTATACACATCTGTCTTTTCTGTGGCTCTACCACTTTGCATATATTCTGTCAAAAAAAAGAGACGTGTGATGGTAGTCGAGAAAAAACCATGTTACTGCCTTACAGATGAACAGAACCAAAAGATATATGCAGTGCATTCCAGATCCATATATTTGAAACCCAGGAAAGAAATTATATAATTCAAATGGAAAGTTATTAAAGAGAAAGTAGATGGAAAGGTCGTTGCTTTCAAATATTTGGTGTGCTTTTACCTGAAACCAAAATCAATCAGATTCTATTTTTCCCCGTAGGGATATAATATTCTCTTCTTCTAAGAATAAAATGAAAATTCCAGTCTGACTACTGCATTCTTCAGTCAGGGTGAATGTGAAATGGGGAAAATGGTTTCTTACCTTTAAAATTCTATCTATTCTAAGGGTCTGTTTGGATGCAGGGTTTGGAGGGAAAGAATTTAGAGGGCTTAGTCTTTATCTTCATAAATAAATATGATGCTTCTAAATCTAAAAAACAAATAAAGAGTGATGCAAATGTTATCTCATCACCTATTATGTTATTCCTAACTGTTATTAAAATTTTCAAGTATGTGTGTTCTGAGATATAGACCCCCCCGCAAAAAAAGAACACCTTCCTTCCAAAACCATCCACCCGAACTGGTCATAAAAGAAGTGCAATGACTGATACAAATATGAACGGTACCATCCTATATGCCAAGAATAATGTGCTTTCACATTTCCAACCTGGTGCTAGATACCCAAATGTGCCTGCTACAATTGTTGTTTTGTGAGACTCCTCATCTCCAAGTAATTTGGCCAATCCAAAGTCAGACACACAGGCAGCAAGGTTAACATCAAGTAAGATGTTGCTAGACTTGATGTCGCGGTGTATAATCCGAGGTGAACAATCATGATGCAAATATGCCAGCCCTTTTGCTGCTCCCGTTATTATCGTTACTCGAGCATCCCAGTCCAGTTGTTCAGAGCTCTCTGCCAAGGAAACCAAACAATTCCTTTTTTACAAGGTTTCACCCAAGAAATGGGAAATGGGTTTTTTCTAGCAAAAGTTGTACTTTGTAGAGGATATAACTAACTTGTAATGAGCCAATCCAGAAAAGAAAATTAGTGTGTTCTATCACATATTGAAAAATAAATCAGAAGTAAATAATGACAGATACTGGCAAAGATAACAGCATATCGTCATAAATCACTTTATTGTTAAGACTAAGAGCTATTTGGTATGAGTTATTTGGTTGACAATGCTAAATGAGACGAACTTTCTGAAAGGAATGTTTTTTGGTCAAATCCATTTTAGCGACTAATACGAAACACACTTATTCTAATAATCTAATTATCTGCATTATTTATCTAATAAGCAAAGTAATCCACTATTGGCTACCAAACGGGCTCTAAGGTATCAGGGATGTAACTGATGACTATTTCTAAGAACATAAAATATATCTACACCATCATTATGTGACACACCAATCTGTTCTTGCCTGATTTTACAGTAAAATAAAGTGTCAATTGTACAATTAAAATGTAGTAAAGGAGAGTGTGTCTTACCATGGAGAGCTTCATCTAGGCTGCCTCCAGGTAAGAAATCATATATTAACAACTTTGATGTTGGAGAATTGCAATACCCTCGCAGATTTACCAGATGTCTGTGTTTAATGCTTCCGAGAATTTCAAGTTCCCTTTCAAAAAATCTATCAAAGCCCTCATTCATTTTGATGATCCTTTTCAAGGCAAAGATGTTTCCATCATCCATTGCAAGCTTGTATACTGTTCCAAATCCACCAGAGCCAATTATGTGTTCTTCATTAAGTGTCTCCAACTTTCTGATAATATCGCTTGAAGAGTAAGGCAAATCCCCATGGAACATGACGACCGAAGCATCTGAAGGATAAAATTTTTGAGGATTTTAACGAAGGAAAATGAAACAAACTGCAGAGCAAATCCCATAATAAAATGAACTAAACATTCATTGATTAAGTGAAGGT